ACTTATATTTTGTTTGCACACTCTCAAAAATAATTAAAGAATTGGTTTAAATGTATTTTGTATGTTTTCTATAACAAAAAAAAAACATTTTTTTAATAATGAGTTGACATCTATTAAATACCTACACTGTAAAATAATCGGTATGAGTGAAAGCAATAAAGGTTCGGAGTGAATATCCATTGAATAAAATTATTGAGTACATTTTCATTCAATATTGGGCATTCTGATAATTTTACTCATTTATTTGTGATTGTACTCATACTAATGGAGTGAAAATTTCACTCAATCGGGTGTGGACAGAAATTTATACATTATTGAGTAAAATTGAGTGAAATTTGAGTGAAATTTTTTTACAGTGTAATATTACTTGAACTGTTATTACTGTGCGTACATATGCCGCAAGTGACCCATTTTTAAGCATTACGTCAAGCGCGCCAGCAGGACGCCGCCGGACACACCAGCGTTCCAGGAAGGGTCTATGGCGGACTGGCGCCGGCAACCAGATGCTTACTCATATACCTACGACCGACTCCACACACAGCGACTCTCCAGCGAACATTCGCCCCGTCAACATGTCTTCTTCTGTACAACTTAGTTTTCAATAAAAATACTTTATTATTACCGTTGAGAGAGCGTTTTATTTTGGTTGAACATCAAAAGCAACCCTCATTACTTTGCTCCATTATGAAGGTATTAAGGTAATTCAAATAAATTCATTTTTTTCTAAAAAAGTATTCTCATAATTTTAGTGAAAAGCTTCAGTTTTTTATCTCTACAAATGCCTCTAAACAAATAATTAGCGTGTCAGTTTTTCTGTTGCAGATTTGACAATATTAGAAGAAAGAAATATGTAGTTCAAAAAAACAACCAATACAACATCCGACTAAATGATTTTTGAAGTCGGAATGTTTGCGAGAAAAAGGTTTATTTCAATTTACCAAACTTTATATTGAAGGTTCTGTTTCTGACTCACCGTTGAAGTCTCCACCACATTTAGCCTATCAACAGACCAGATATCTGTGTACAGGCAACTAACGTACATGACACTTTATATATCTAGCAAGAAGACTAAGAAACCTCGACAGACAAAGATTTCAAGTAGTTCTCCGTTAGTACATTTATGATATACTAACCTACTCATCTAATTGAATTCAATTTTATGAAGCTGCATACGCTGTTTTTAGACAGAACCTATATCTGTCAATATTTTTAGACCGATATATTCAAAGATGACAAAAAGCTTTATTAATCTTATGGTAGTGTGTAGAAGCCTCTAACTTTAAAAATATATCTCAATAAATATTGGATTTTGTGTATAACTAAATTCATATTATTTTTGTTTTTAAATCTGAATATTTATACTCATCTGAAATATTTTTATAATTATCTACATTATCATAAAGATACTTACATATGTACCTATTTAATTTTGCATTTATCAGTACATACGCATATCTGCATTTTTCAGAAATAATAATAAAATTCCATGAAAGATACATGAGAATGTATGTAGATTATCTGAACATGCTAAGTGTATACTAGCCAATGTATTACATGAGAATGTTTTTGATTCTTAAATTACGATGATACCTATGTGTTTAAAAGCAAAAGAAGTTAATTATTTATGAACGTGCATTGTTATTATAGTAATACTTTTTTGTGCTGAACTTACATTATGAATAGTTTGACTTTTCTTTCAAAATAAAGAAATATTTTAGTCTATAACTAAAATTAACCAAAACAAAAATATTCTTATTACCAAAAACTCAGAGGTTTATTTCCTAAATTGAATTTGGAAAATATACCTACCAATATTTACGAACAAATAAAATAAATATTTTTTTCTTACACTTATAACAAAATAATAGATACCTTTTTATCTAATAACAGCAGTTTTGAAAAGTAAATTCCTCAAATCAATCTGAAGTGTGTAAAGTCAACAAATGTACAATTCACTTCATGATACAATTTAAAAATTTTAAGAAAAGTATATGTAAATATCTTGAAAGTCTTTTAACATTAAAGTTAAATATATACGCACTGTAATCGAACATCATGCACGTTTAGCACTACTTTAAACAAGATGCGAAATGTAAACACATCCTGCATCTGTAATGAATTTATATGATTATAAATATTAATACTTCATGAATACATACAATTACAATTTTTATGTTTATTAAATCTTTGTCATTTCGCAGTGGGCATGCGGATTTTCTCGAAAGATAATAAAATTACTGCATTAATCGTTTTTTTCATTTTAAATCAGGATCTACCTGTGTAAGTACGTATAAATTTTATTACTTAATTGCTGCATCCTTTTTATTAATTACTTTTCCAGAAGTATTTCTTTTTTTACTAGAAAGCAATGTTATTTTGTATTTGTCGACAGCGTAAGTAATGTCTTCATCGTTACAACCACTAATTCATAATTGCAGTGCAACATTAAATATTCATTACTTGAAATGTACTTGTAGGTGTTTATTCATTTATTTAAATTTTTTATGTATATTCTTACTAACCGAAATAAAATAAAGGTACTCCAAATAAGACGACCCAATTATTAGATTGAAAGGAAATTAAGTATGAAATTTTTAAGACGCGATTCTTAAAAATATGTATTTTAATGAAGTTTAAAATGTGATCTTTTTGCGTATTAATTAGCTTCATGGACAATAAAAAATTAACTTAAGAAACTAAGTATTTTTCATTAAATAGTTTCAGTATTTTACCATAACTGTAATACTTTAATAAAAATTATTAATTATTATTTTATAAATTACAACAATTTGAGTACAAAAATAGCTGTCACTATAAATTATTAATTTTTATAATAAAACAACTACTGGTTACATAAAATATAAGCTAAAAAAACGCATCTAAATAGATTTTTCTAAGGATAAGTACTTAAAGATATTGATATTTCTATTCAAAACAGCGATATTATGTGCTGAAAATACAAGGACCAATTTGGTTCCCACACGTCTGCCTACATGGGTTATACGTAATCTTAATTGCATTATATTCACAATCTTATTTTGCAGCTATTGTTCTACATTTACTCATGATGAACGTCTAGTTTATATGCACAGTGGAGTAACAAATCTCAAGTATTCATTAACAGCAATTAAGCTAAGTTGTTGCAAAAAAGTGTACTGATAATTGAAAAAGATTATATTAGCTAACAATTATTGTACTTAGTAAATATGTTGCCTCTCTACAACTTAATTTGGTAGATCTCTCTTGCAAACATTTGCTAATTAATTCTTCAAATTTAATGGTGCTACTATAGACAAAATAAATTTATTTACGAATTACCCCTATAAGTTATATTGTCATTTTTAATATAACTAGATATATCTACAAAGGACATATCGTGAAAATGTCCCAACAAATTGAAATAACTAAAAGTAATACTGCAATGCAACTGTGTTAGCAAAAAACTGTAATCAAATTATTTATTTTTTTTTAGTTAATAAAATCTTATATTGAAGTGACTTTAGAAATTGCTTTGCTTTGAAGAGACATTGTTATGTCATTAAATTACCAACAAAGTTCTGATTAATTTATTTGCTACAATAATTATTTTAATATCTGATTTCTGTCCATGTTTGAATACAAAGCTCATACCTATGAATCAGAAAAGTGCACAAATATAAATAATCAGATTGATGCTGAAATGGAAAGATGTATTATTTTTCCATATCTGCTTCAATTTATCAAAATTTCTAAGAAAACAAATTTACAGGGCTAGAGCGTATGCAGGTCTCACAATTGGTAGCCTCCTTCTAAATAATAGAACTCACTATTCATTAAATATTCGTTATATATATTAATATGATACATTTAGAAAATGAAATTATGAATTTATCAGAAAGGACAGAAAATAAACAGTGGTATTTATTTTATTTTTTTTTGGTTAGGCATTTGCAATATTTTGTAGGCTATATTACTGTAATTTCGTTAATGAACCTTACCTATTTATTATTAGCTCACATTTTTCACTATTACTCTAAATCAAATAGATTCAAACAATTAAAAAGTTATTGAAACTAATTTGTATATAACGTATTTGCAGATGATTTACGTAGGTACTTGCATAGATAGATACTCATATTTCCACATAAATACTACACTAAAAACTAAACTGCTTAATCAGTTTTATGGAACGATTTGCAGGTAGATAAAGATATTAAATTATATTACTGCTACTGTTGCGTACCTACTATATGTGATTAATGGAACCACTTAAACAAGAGTCACGAAACAGGTACGGAATTAGATTATACTGTCGACGCCAGTGCTGTATTTACTAGGTTAAAAATTTATTAGATTTACTAAAATAGGAAATATAATATTGATATTGCAAACAGTTTTGTAGCTTTTGGTATCTGTGAGAAAAATAGGTAAGGACTTTTAGAGTTGTTAATACAAAAAATGCATTTCTTGAATAACGTAAAATATATTCTTGTTAACTGAAGAAAAAATAGAGCGCCATTGAGAAATTGAGAAATTGAGAAATTTTGATTACCCCAGTTACAAAATTTGTAATTTTAACTCACCACTGTTAACATATATATTGAGTTTAAATAAATTTCCGTATCATCTGACTTATAAAAACGAAACTAAGCTTTAGAAAAGTCTAGACCACCATTATGAAGTAACTCGTAAAGACTATTAAGTAACAGTTGTTATTAAATATAATTTATGTTCGCTCGTCACCATATATTAAAAATATACTAAGAATATGCACTTGTGCACTTGAATACATGGACAGTAAAATAACATCTATTTGCGTACTGAAGTGGAAAACAACTTTTTATTCCATAAGACGTTATTTGTACAAAATCTCCTTAAAAAAATTGTGATGCTCACACATACACTTCTAATCTATCAGTCACTGTAGTGCACGAAATACACTTATATCACGCACGTCTGGCTTCTTCCATATCCGTAAATTAACAAAACTACCCCTAAGCTAAGAACTAATTCATTCCTACCTTAAGTATCATGTTCCAGTGATTTCACAGTATTGATGTGAGGGAAAAGGTAACCAAAACACTGCGAAAATAAACCCCTAGTACGGCACTGAAACGTGAATCGAATAGGATGCTGCTAATATAATAACACACACTTTTATACCAAACCTACCAGTGGGAGATGACATAGAGGGGGGCATCTTTCTTACAATATGTAATAATGTAACATGTTTATTTACATCAATAGCTCCGCGTTCTCGTCTGGGCCTTTCTTCTGGTTCATGAATGAGTTGGCCGCTATGAAAGCGAAACTGAATCAGATCCACGACCTAAGTTACTAGCGATTTAGGCGAGCTTAAGGCAGCTAGATGAACCTCTGATCGTTTTCGTATGGTCGCTGTTCAGGTATTTGAATTTGATTTACATACAAATGTTCTTCCGATCTTGACTTACCGGTATATGGTTGTTCTTCATTTTGGAGAAGAAACATAATAATAGGTTTGGGAATTCCTAACGTTTTAGGTGATAAATCAGAGGTCTTTTGAAACAGGATATAGTTTTTGCAGGACTACTTGCTCATTAAAAATTTAAAAGTGTCAGTTTTATGTTGTTTGTATGGAAAATGCTGGAATTGCGATTGGAAATAACACTCATAATGTGACTGATTCTTAAGTGTAAAAAAAGAAAATTAGGTGTCTATCATAAATTATGTATTTAAGAAGGATGGGTAAAAATCTCTACTTTTAGCAAACACCTGGCCAAATTTTATTGTTATTTACTGAATTGTTGTATTAAGCCTTTTATTTGATATTGGCAGTAATTTCGAAACATATAGACACATTCTATTGGAAATCTCTACACCACCAATTAACAAAAAATGGTAGTGGTAATATAAAATTTCTAGGTATTAAAGAAATTTGTTCTAAGGCCTTCTTTGGGAAAATTCAGAAATATTTGTAGAAAAATATGAAATGATAAATCATCACATTAATTTATTTATCCAATACTTGTATATAATGATACTATAATTTCTTTGGTTTTAAAGGAATAATGTGACCTATAAGTCACTAGTGAGTTATGACTTATAACTCACTAGTGACTTATAGAAATCATAAAAAGACTGTTTGGTTTATTTTTCTAGTTTTTACTAGAAAACCGATTTGAAACAGTAATAAATCAACAAATAACCTAAAATGCTACAAACTTACAATCTACATACTTATTAATATTAACATTATGGTAAAGCCGTAATTTGATGCTTCAACATGGAATATTTAGTCCACAATATGGATGGAGCTGATCTCTCACTTAAATTGATAAAATAAACCAGCAGGACATCTTCATTCGCCCCTTCTTGGATTTTCCAATCTTGAAATTCCTTCAGTTCTTTGTTGTACTTATATAGATTTTGATTTCTCCGGAATGATGCCTGCAGTAGCCGCATTAGCTTTTTTTAAAACAGATGGAATTTCCACATTTTCCATTTTTTCAGTCTTGGTTTTAGGATTTCAATGTGATTTCAACTCAAAAAATATTGTTTGTTTACTGACAACCTTTGATTAGACACAATTTAGGTTGACACTCGCATCCTTTGTAATATTTAAAAATACATTCATTTCGTTAAATTACTTTTTCTGACATTGACAACTTGAAATTTTAAGTTACTTTTATTTATTATTAAAACGAAATTCTATTAAAGTGTTAGATAAAATTTTATAGGACACTGGGACACCCCATAGGTACTAGAACAATTTTATACTTCTGCATAAAATCATTATTTAGCAAAGAAAACAATAATTTTTGATATAAGACTTGATACATTGTCTTTGGCATTTATATCTTTAAATTAATTTGATATCTTAATACATTATCAGTTGTGAGTAATGAACAGATAACTTTCTTCTGAAGGCAAGAATTGCGTCATATTTTTAAATTAAAGGTAAGTAGCATTCTTTTATGTAGGCATCATTTAAGTGTTATTATCAAATTATTTCGTGTTGAAACCAGCATTAATCTTAAAGTATCAAAATAAATTAACATAATAACTTTAAATTTTGATAAAGTAATTAGTACCCTAAATTTTTTAACGTTAAATTTATTGCGATATTGGATAATATGACATACATTTGTTTTATAAACTTTAACAAAAAAATACGTCTATTGACATTAATACCTAAAAAAAATTTCTTTAAATTGCGGTGACATTTGTGGCATAGATAAAAAATAGATATTTGTGGAAATACAGAGCATGACTGTTAGAATATTCAAAATCAGGGAAATATAGCCTTCTGAGATTCTATTTAATAATACCACTATGTAGTCTGTTAATTCATACTTAGATATTGTCATCAATAATTCTCTTTTATTGTGTATTGTATTATTAGCAATGGCAACAAACAAATTGGCATTTAAATTTAAAAAATCGTAAAACTAGACAATACTATTATACAGATAAATAATTCAACAAATAATATCTACAATTAAATAAAAGAAATAATATAAATTATTGGTGACAAAAGAACTGATGTCAGATTTTAGTGACCGGTCATATCTGAAAATAAATAGATCCTGTATTCACTTGTAGCAACGAAAAGGTTTTCTTTTCTTTTGTCTATTGTCACTGCGACTAATTTTGATTGATTTAAATTTAGCTAATAGATAATAAATACATTAAATGAATATTTAGCAAAAATTGTGACGAAGATATGTTTCGAGTTAATTAATAAATTAACAAATAATCTGTTAAGTTGAAGGAAATATTCCAGTTTTATGTGTCTAAAAATAAACTAGACTTAGTCAAAATGAATGTTGCTAATATGTCGCATACTATTTGAAAAAATATATACTTTATTGTACTTAAGTTTATATTTTATACCAGTTTGTTTTATACGATAATAATACAATAGTGTCTTTAGAATTCATGACAATATATATTTTTGTTGGAGAAAACAAATTAAAAATATGCGATAATCATTCATTTAGCCGTAGGTGATTTGTCATAAATCTTTTTTTAAATACCAGGTTATAATATACATAATAATAACTCATACTATTCGTATCTGAATATTTTGATAATACTAGCAGAAAACTGGTTTTATTAGACGAACTAATTTTATGTGCCATCATAGTGTAGGACAATTTTTAGTTATTTTACGAATCAATACTTTTTTACATACCCTTTTGGGTTTAATATAAATAAGATATAAAATACATAAATTGCAAAATGCATAATGAACTTAATTGTAAATATGGCCTTCCTATTTTCTTCTTATTTTACTAGCTTAAGCAGTGACGGATTTTCAAAAAGGTTTTTTATATAATTTCGTAGTTCCCAGACGTTTTAAGAAGCAGACCCAATTTAAGACCTCCATTTCTCTGGGGTTACCTTAAAATCAGACTTTATGAAGTAAAACTACTATATCTTCAATATATTCGTAATAAAATAACTCAAGAATTATAATTAATAGGTGAGAACCACAAAATAATGACAAAACCTATAATTGAATTAAAACTCAACTACATGTAATGCATAGAACAAACTGAAAACCATTTTGAACGTTTATTGTAGACATTAGTAACATTTCTCACGTTTTTTACATGTTTTTATGTTGAAAATGAAGAAAATAAATGGGTAAGTGTTTAAATATCCTCCGACCAAATACATAACGTATACATATTGCTGAAATCAGCAAATTTGAAAAATCCAAAAATATGCAGCATGTTCCATTTAAAAAAACATGCGTATTTGGTACGTCCTTTGAGAACGCCCTATATGAAGTTTAATATCACCATAAATAAGTTCTAGTTGATAGCTACAACATTCGCATTTAACATTTTTTTATTTAAAAATTAAAAAGTTAAGGGAATTGGCATTTGCAAATATGTTATTAAAAAATTACCACAATTATGAAAACGAAAATTAAGCGATTTGTCTCTCTCTTTATGAAGACAAGACAAACCAACGAACGTTTTTAGTAATTTACCTTAATTGAAATGGCATATTCCTATCGTTAAGTATATCTTTACTGCTGCTTTTAACCTACGTAAGCACCATTAAATTTGACTGTAATAATTATATAATTGCAAAATATCAATCCATTATTAAGTCAAATGCCTACGGAATAGGGTTATGCTAAATAATTTAATTAACTGTAACCTTTTGTATTACAGTTCTTCGAGAAGTGACATTAAATGTGAGATGTTAAATCAGTAAACTACTACCAGTACTACCACTACTACGATTACTGTTATAGCTTTTTTATAAATGTTAAAATATTCAGATATATTTGGTTGTACAATTTTTTAAAAATATTAAATAATTATGACTCATCAAAACAGACGTTCATAGGAAAGCGGTTATGTAGGAGGAACAAAATAAATCATATTTGCACAAAAATGCCCACAATTCTTTGAATGATCACCTAATTTGGTAAACAGTGTTGGTGTGAAATTCTATTTTTTTCTAGTTATTTGCATATATGCCGGGTGATTTTATCGTTGAGGATTTATTTTCGGTCTTGTTCTTTAAAAAAATGTTTGTTGCGAGAATTATTAGTTCTACTGTGAGTAAACAAGGCTTCATTTATCATCAAAATTAATTTCAAAAAGTTTCACCTTTGGCGTCTTGCAAAACTTCCTTGAACCTGGACAGGGATTTCACGTGTGCTTGCCTTGCAACATTTCCAGGGGACCTCGATCGTCCTCCAGAATACTCCCGTATATTTACATTTCACTACTCTACAAATCCCTGTGGGTTAGACAAATTTTCACCGTACAATCGCGATGTCTTCGCCACATTTTGACTACATTCCCCATAAATTAACATATTTACGCGCTGTACATGCAAGATTGGTAATGTACTGACCAATAAAAATGTGATTTATTGCTTTGTCTATTGTGCTCTGTATATGAGGTACTTGACTAAAATTTATTTTGAAACTTTTGGAGTAACATTTATATTTTCTGTAATATCAGCTATATATCCGAAAATTGGCGCATTATTATCCTTATAACACATTAAATATTAATAAATATAGAACATTGACATTCTATTTGCTGGAGAAATAATAACTATGCTTTATTGAATATTGTGAAAATTAAATAAAAAATATAT